CCCCCAAAACCCCAAAACCCCAAAACCCCTTTTAGGAATAAAAATATTGTACATTATCTGGATATCGTATTTTTATAATGATGGTGTTCTCTCACGAAATAATAAACTCCTTCTGGCCTCTGCTGGTCTTTCATCCCTTCTTTTAATTATCTTTTGAAGGATATAAATGAACTTATAAATTTTAGTGGTGGGTATTGCTCAATATTACATACCAGTTAGTCTTATCAACAGTAGTAAGGAAAATTTATCACCAACTAACCGATATAGGTTTTAAATTACTCTCTGATCTCCTAATCTGCCCTAAAAATGAGGCTTATCTTCTATCCTTTGAACTCTAATCTCTTCTTAATCCAATAGTTCAGAGTTTTATGCTTCAAGCTTTAGTCAAAGTAGCAGTCCTCATACTCACACCGATGATTCTGAGCATTGTCTATTTTATGCTCTTGATCTGAACTCTTTCGGACCTCATTTTGGAGAAGATTTTAAGTCCTTTTTAATTACTTTCTGGCCCATACTCTTCTTTATGAATGTATTTTAGATTCAATTTTGAGATAGCGATTAGTCGTATAAGCTCTTTTATTCCATGATAAAACGCTCTTGGCTGAATTTTGGATGAACTCAAGATAGTGTTCTCCTCATAATATTATGAGATAGATGGCTTTGAATAATCTTTGGCAACAATTTTATGCCCTGTATGAGTCTTCTCATTTTTATGTGCTGTATTTGATAAGTATACCTATCTAAGCAATTATTTATGATCGAGGAGGTTGACAAAGACATATCTTGCCTTTCTTCATCGTATAAAATAAATCTAGCAATATTTTTTATGACATAATGGATTCTAGTCCTAAATTTTAGAGATTGAATTAAGATTTAGCTTTTCTGAAGAAATTCTGCTCTGGAGCTTTCTGAAATCATAGAATAAAGATCAGCTTTGAGCCGTTGATTCAAATCAAGGTGATTCAATAATGGCGAATATTAATTATTGTATGAAAAGAATCGGAAAGCTCTAATATTATGTATAGTGGACTACAATAGTTTATTGAAAGAGTCAGAAGAGCATAGGAGCTCTATTTTTCCTTGCTTCTTGGAAGTATGAGTCGTTCTACATGATCAAGATAGTAAAGATTCGTTAGAGATATTATTCACTGATTTTGTCATCAAATTTAATTTGTATTATGACTTTGTCCAATTTTCTCATTATTGATACAGCATTAGCAAGTATCCTTTAATTTTTTTACTGAAATTACCACTGCGAGTCTTCTCTTGGGGTTTTGGGGTTTTGGGGTTTTGGGGTTTTGGGG